TGGCCCTGTTCGTCCAGCAGATCTCTACTAAAGAAGGAAAGAATCTGACAGCTTTACTATTTTAGTATTTTGCTACCTGCTAGCTACACATATTGTTACACGTGTCCTTATAAAAATGCAGACCTAATAATTTGGTCAATGGTCAATTACTGGAATATTCAGTCACTGAAACCCTGAAAATAAAAGAGGAAAGTCCAGAGGATAGCATTATAGTAGGGGTAGAACCCGGCCCGGCCCGGCCCGGCTCGGAATGGAGCCACGGCTATTTTCCTTCCCGCCTATTCTGTTTTTGTGATACTATAAATAACCCCTTTCAAACCGACCATGAATCGACTGAAATCCCAATTTTTCATTACTGGATTTCCTTCCCAGTTTTTCAATTCTTGAAGCGTTTTCTCTATCAAGAAAAGTGATAAAATCATGACGAAAATCGATGCCCTCCGTCGATTCCTCCTCCCTTGCATCCACCCTACACTGACACCTTCGCAACCCATTACCACCACCAAGAAACGCCTCAGCACATCCCTCCGTGATGATCTTGACGACAAGAATTCTTTCACCAATCAAAAAAACACTCCACGAGAGGATCAACGCCAAGGCTCCGACGACGACGATCCCACCCCTCCGGAGACTCCTCTTTTGGCGCCATCACGATCCTCCAGGACAATGGTTACCGGGACAATCTTTGGGCACCGCCGTGGCGGCCATGTGTGGTTCTGCGTGCAGCATGATCGACTCAATACTCGTCCTTCTCTCCTACTTGAGCTCTCCATTCCGACAACTAGCCTCGTCCATGAAATGCAAAATGGGCTGGTCCGTATTTCACTTGAGTTCAATGCCGATGAATCCCCCGAATCTGAACTCAGTCGCTGCCCTCTCCACTCTGTCCCCATTTGGTCCCTGTCCTGCAACGGCCGGAAGCTGGGTTTTGCCGTCCGCCGCAAGGCCACACAGCAGAACCGCCTAATGCTGAAGACAATGCAGAATAACACAGTCGGAGCCGGGGTGATTCCTCCTGGTTCTGGATCCGGGTCGGAGGAGATAATGTACATGCGAGCCAATTACGAGTGTGTTGTAGGCAGTGCAGACTCCGAATCTTTCCATTTGATCAGCCCGGATCATGGACCGGGTCAAGAACTCAGCATTTTCCTTCTGAGATCAAGGTGATTGGTATTTCAAGAACATAGTGATTTCGAAATTTGAAAAACTTTTATTCATGGGGACAAAAGGCTCAGTTTTTCTTGGGTAGAATCAGAAAATTTCGGTTTTCTGATTAATTTCTGAGCTTTCTTTTGCCAAGAACTCAAATCTTCTTCGAGGAAATTTGTGTTTGTGAGAAGAAAAATCTCAGATTTTAATTTATTTTTCGGTATTTCGAAAAAGATGGTTTTTCTGAACTAGAAATAGCTTCAAGATATAGGATATTCCATTGATGTGCATGACATAATCAAGAATTTAGTATATTTGGCAATGGATTCCAATTCATCAATTTCTTCTGTATATTTTATTTCTATGGTTGGAAAAGCATTGTGTGTTTAATATTGCAATGAAGTTACTATGATTGCAAATAACATATTCATGTAAAGATGTCTTTAAACTGGGACACATAATTCAGTCAAGATTCTTTCTTCTCATTCTGTATTAACAGCTGCACTTTGCAGCTGGTTCAGTATTGAGTCCTTTGACCACTATCTTAATCTTATTCTATATTAACAATTTATTCTTCCATGATAAACATGCAGAATATTTGCTGCTTACCCTAAATTTAATAAGAAAAATGCTAAATCGCCCGAATATTTGTTTTCCATGTCTGATCTTTCCATGTAATCAAGAAATCGAGAAAGATGAAGATGGAATATTTAGCACCTGTTTGGTATTGATTAAAATCAAGATTTTGATCTAAGTTAAAGTTAACAATTAATTTTAACCACACATTTCATTGGGTCCACAACCGTTTAACGACAATTTCATCATTTTTTTTAATTAAAATTTACTAAAAAACTGATTTTAATCTCCGCCAAACAGGGGCTTAATCTGATGGAGGAACAAGATTTTGTTTTAAATCTTCAAATAACTGTCCTGAAAAGATCAAAATTCCAAAATTTGAGTTTCTCTTTTGTCCATAGTCATTCAAGTCATTGTAATCTAAATAATGTACCATTTTCAACTTTATGGTTATTCAATTAACCAAAATAAAAAGTTAAGAGATAATTAATGATACAAATTAAAAAATAAGAAAGAAGTGAGCTAATTTTGGATTGTATTCTTCTTGATCAGGGTTAACTTGAAAGCTTGAAAACAATTGAATAAATCTCAACCATTTTTTGACGGATAAGCATAATTACTTCCAGACTATAAGCATAATTACGAATAAGGTAGTCTTTTCAGCATTTTTTCATTGCCAATAAGTAATTAATATTTGCCCTAATTTGCATTTAAGTTCATCATTATCTCTAATTTTCCTTTATTTTGGAAAGTATCAAACTTAAGTGGGTCCAAGCAAAAAAACAAATTTTCTATATGGAAAAGATGATCCTGTCGTGGATCTCAGGATCTAAATCTTACCTGCACCTTTGTATGTTCCCATCAGTGAGATTTGTTGACCCCGAAAAAGGTGACACTGACGTAGACAACAGATGTTCGGCTCACTCACGTCAACTCAATCAAATTTCGGCCCGTTTTAACCGGAGTACCAAAAGGAAGTGAGAAAAACGTGAATGCAGGAGATGTTTTACGACGTGAGACACAAGTGTTCGAACACCGATTGGTGAAACAAAGATGATTGCGCTAATAACAATCACCTATCAAATACCTATGCTTATCTGCTAAAGATCAAGCTAATAAATATGGAACAAGCAAAATGATATATGGAAAAAATTTCCTCTTAAATGTGCGTATTAGAAAAAATGCTCACAATGTCGTTTTGTATTTCTTTTTAGATTTCCCAAGATCCCCCCTTTCATTTACAAAGGCTTCCTATTTGTAGTGTCTTGGCCCAAGTGGTGTCCGTTGGATCAGAACCACGTGACCCCATCTCTTTGACTAAAGCTTCACATCACTGTCTGTCATACAATAAATACATTGAGAATGGGTCAGCCGTCCTATACATTAGGCTGACACACTTGACATTCTTTATTACAAACGTTACATCAATCATTCCTAAATATTGTCATGTTTAGAACATTCTCTGTTGAAGCCTATTTGATTCCGGAGCCAACCTTCTTCGAAACATAGCCAGAAGACACACTTCTAGAAGCAGAAGAAGAGACTGAAGAAATCTATTGTGAAGTCGAATTGTCCTTCGCGAATCTTAAATGTACAAAGCCAATAAATCCGTCACGAAGCCGTGTTATGCTTAGGTCATTCATTTGATCGATCTCTTTACATTTGACAAGTTGACTCTTTGTTGACTTTTCTTTTCACGTGGATTGCTACGTGGCATTTTGACTTGAGTCTTTGTGGCGAGGCGTAACAAGATTGTATATATGATACAGTCTTTCTCAAAATAATGCACTAAAAGCTATTGGATAAGTTTCAGAGAATCAATATTCTAATAACAAGTTGTTATTGTTAATATGAAATTAAAAAGAATTAAAAATGTGATTTATTCATAGATCCCAGCAGATAAAGCAATCTTTCTTTTCTCTTTTGGGAAAAGCATGAAAATTAACTAGTAAATTTAACAAAATTTGCTTGCCTAATAATCAGTTTTTTCATCTGAAGATAAGCAGAAGCAATTAAGAATACGCCACTGATGTGTACATGTCATCATCGAGGCCCTGCAACCACTTGAAACGAGGATATTAAGATGAGAAGATACAACATAAGAACTGAGAATATATATCAACAAATGGGGGTGACAACAATCGATAAGAAATGAAGTGAAAGACGACAGACTCAAGGTTTAATTGGACCATGTTTTTATTCGGGTTTTAATGCACCCCAAGAACAAGTTACGAACAGGAAGAAGTAGACCAATATTAAGATGACATGTTTCATAGTTAACAAGGATATATTTACATCAAATCTTCTAATAGTAGCAATGAAATGACCAGATAGATAGGCAAAAAAAAAATCACATGGCAAACCTCAAATTTATTAGGAATAACATGTTTTTTTTTCTTTCTTTCTTTTAGCCGTGTTACCTTCGGGGCGGTACCTCAACCTCTTGTTTCTAGCTCGTGATAAATGGATAACGTTGGCTCGAGCGCTTTCTTCTCTGTACGAACAGTTTGAGGAGAGCAAGAATGGGGACAGGGATGGGGTTAATCTGCATCCCGAGGACTAGATGCAATGGATATAATAAACCATCTATCTAAACCTCAGGATGCAGATTACCCGATCCTTCCTTACCCAAAATTATTCGTACGTGTCTGTAAGAAGAAGAAGAAGAAGAAAGCATATATGAATAATTAGTTTCATGCAAATAAAAGAGTTAAAGTTTGATGAACCCGTGCATGTTGGGGAGCAATTTATAATGCCTAAGATATCATATTTAAGTCCTCTACTACAAATTAATATGGTGTGATTGAAGAGGCTAATATTATATCTGTAATCATCGTCCTAATGTTCTTTGCTAACCAATCATAAGGAGAGAATCTTCCTTTCTCAGATAATGACATTTCTTTCTTGACTACTTTCTCAACATACTGACCATTGCTGGGATTTTTTTTGTTGACTTTCTAATTTAGCTCTAGACGATTACCATATTTCATATGCTTACATTATTAAGTTCTTATGAAAGGCATAAACTAATTAAACATGGGATTAGTACTCCAGAAGCTTGTTATTGAATTAATTCCTATCAGTGAATCAAGTAGTTTAAGTAGCGATAATAAATTTACGGGATTTTCTTGAAGTAGCGAGTCTGAAAATGATCAGGATCAGAGACTTGAGATATGGTAATAAGGAGTATGATTAGGGTAAATGATGCATACGCATCTTTAGCTTTTATTGTGTATCCATGTCTCCATACGAGGTAGACTTTAGTTGTACTTCTAGCTGGAGGTCAAGTTGAACACAATATTTTTTAAATAAAAATTTCAAGTATTTTTAGTTATTGAACTTGGATGCCTCTTTCTAATTTTTGCCCTACTTGTGATAAAAAGGGAAAAGGATAACATCGATACGTTACATCAGATTTTAATTTGATGATCTTCTCTGGCTTTTTACACTGTTCATATTCTATTCCCTCTAGTAAGTTTTACATTGTCCAGATATTCCATTGTTGAAATAAGTAATTGGTTAAGTAAAGAACCTACATTTTTCACAATTAGTAAAGAATAAGTTAGTAGGATTGGTGGTTGTGCATAAGCCTACTCATTGTTATTTCAAAGAGGATATATTCTATCAGCATGAATTTAAATATTTTAATTAAATATTTAATATTATTTAAGGTGGTTTGAGATGACTTTTAAATTTTTTATTTAAAAAATATAATTTGCATTATCTTTTTTAAGAAAGCTAGATAGTATAATACATACGAGTAGGTGCATGATTTTAAGCCGAACAACAAATGTAGTGAAAGTATCATTCTTTTGAATGAATTTTTTTATAAATACTATGCACCTTAATTTATTCTAATACTCTCTCTCATGATTTCTTGTACAATCGAATCCAGTTTGCGACTGCCAAAACTAATGTTGCCCTTTTAGTTTGCTGTTATGCCAAAATCACATAAGTGTATA